AATCCTGCTATACCTGGTCACACTAGCATAAGCAAGGTGAAGCGCTGAAGTGCACTAGAAGCAGGTCATCGCCATCAGAGCTCCCAGAACCATTGGGTCTTTGGAAATGCAAATTTGCTTAGTATGGATCAAGAGTCTGTACATCAGACTCATGAAAAAAATGCTGTGACGTTTGTACTGCTCTGTTGTTAATAGTATTACCTGTAACAGCAGAAAGAACTCTCTCCTAGTTTAAACAAATTAAAGACTACTTGCATAACACCAGGACAGAGGACAGTGAAGGACCTGTAGACATTGAGAAATGTTTTCTCAACCAGAATACAGTTCAAGGATAAACTCTCTGGTACCTGCATCCTTGATTCCCTGCAACTTCCTCCATCCAAAGCTATTTAATGTTCAAGGCTAAACCACTAAAAGCAGAGGCATAGTAGAATGGGTTTGTTCTACACGAAGCGTGATTGCACTTAGTGAAGTTTATGGCAACAAGCCCAAGTGGAACATTCAGCTTTTGACTGAAAATCAGTGGATTATTAAATTAGGATGATTATCCTTTATCTTATGGCAATATGTTCAGCTATAGCTAGGCCAATAATAAGCCCCTTCATCAGCCAGGTCTGACAGCTGTAGCTAGTTTTATCATTCATTTGTCATTGTTTTTATTTAAATTTATGTGTGTGTACTTCAAACATGTTTAGTTGGTAAAATAAATGTTGTACATTCAAATCAGAGTGTCTTCCATGTCGGGATTCCAGACTCTGGAATGGATGTATTCTTGAGTCTATAAGGCAACAATAATATAATAAGATAACCTTGTTTGAAATGGGTTTGGCTAAAAGAACATTTTGATTTCATCTATACTACTAGGTACTTATACTGTGTTGACTGGGTTAAATAGAACTGCATTACTAAAAAAAGACAAATACAATTTTCATTGACTAAAAGTCATCCGTTTTCGTCGACTAAAACTAGATGAAAATAGTCATGGATAATTCTGACTATAATAAGACTAAAATGCTCAGACTTTTAGTTGACTGAAACTTGACTAGACTAAAACAAGAGTATGAACATGACAAACTAATAAAAACTAAAATGACAGCTTCACACAGACTAGACTAAAACTAAAATTAAAATAGGCCGCCAAATACAACTGTGGTTGTAAATTTCCCAAAAATAACATCTTTGGATTTGTCTACAGATGTTAAATGCTTGTGGTTGTTTCTGTCCCATGTTTGCATTGTATGTTTCAATATCTAAAATTTATTGGTGATAAGATAAGAATTTAGCATTGGTTGCTAGGTAAGAGAGATACAGTTCAGATTGATAACTGAAGTTGTGTTGAGTATTTAGGATTTCCTAACTTGAGATAAGATAGAATGAATAAAAACAAAACAGGATTCCTTAAGTTAAGATTTGCTTCCTTAATACCAAATTGGGAGACTTAAGATAGTACGTTTCTGTAATACAGCCCACAGATTTTAGAACATGACGAAACAAATAAAATAAAATCCACTCAAACTGCCCACACTATGGGGCTACAGACTGGGTATTGATAATTTCTCAAATCAATTCAGTTCTAATTTCATTAATTCCAATTTGATTTGATTCACCATGATTCATTTACATCAGATAAATACTTAATGTTGCATAAAGTGCTTGTAAGGAGCCTTTCACTTATTGTATCTATAAATGTATGGAAAACACCAACCGTGCTGCTTTCTCCCTATTTTCAAAGTGCGCGGGTACCTGCGCTCCCATGGCGTCTGCCATTGCTAAGCAACCATGAACTAGGTGCTGCATGGTGATGAGGAAGTTGCTGTCAGAAACGGCGCGCGTAATGCAGCTGAACTCAATTAAATGGCCAGACGAGGAAGTGGAAAACAAAACCGTCTCTTTATTAAGAGAACTAATGTTGAACAAAAGAAAACCATACAAGACACGGTGAAAACATACAGGTATGTGCCAAAAAATTAGAATATCGAGGAAAAGTCCATTTATTTCAATAATTTGTTTCAAAAAGTGAAACTTGTATGTTATATTAGTTCACTATACACAGAGTGAAATATTTCAAGCCTTTATTTGTTTCAATTTTGATGATTATGGATTAAAGACAAAAAACCCCCAAATCCAGTATTTCACAAAATTAGAATATTTCATGTGACCAATAAAAAAAGGATCTTAAACACATGTTGGCCTTCTGAAAAGTGTGTTAATGTACTGTATTATGTCCTCAGTACTTTGTTGGGCCTCCTTTTGCATTAATTCCTGCATCAAGGCGGCGTGGCATGGAGGCGATCTGCCTTTGGCACGGTTGAGGTGTTATGGTAGCCCAAGTTGCTTTGATATTGGCCTTCAGCTTGTCTGCATTTCGGGGTCTGTGTTCCCTCATCTTCCTCTTGACAATACCCCATAGATTTTCAATGAGGTTTAAATCAGGTGAGTGTGCCGGCCAATCAAGTACAGTTATTCCATGGCTATTAAACCAGGTACTGGTAATTTTGGCTGTGTGGGCAGGTTCACAAATGTCCTGATTGATGTTGAATACTTTTAAATAAAGGCAGCTTTAGTGGGGTGACAGGATGACAGCACTACATGATCAATAGTTTTGAACAATGTACAGAAAACTATAATGCTGTTTTTGTGGATGCTTAAGTTGCCTTTATCTGGAATTTTTATGTAATGTAAGAAGCTACACTTTGAAAGACAAGTTCCAAATACCAAATCAGATATTTTTACTGGAGCTGAACAACTTGTTCTCCTTCCCCATGTTTTTAAGCATACTCATAATGTATGGTCTAACAAAGACAAATGACTAACAAAGTATATTATGAAACGTTTTATTGTGTTTTAGCTTAATCAGTAAATCAGATAAAAATGTGTAATTTTCCTAACAAAAACAACTCTGCTGTTTCATTTCATTTGAAGCTGCTGTGTTCTGAGTCCTGTCTCATCATTTGACAGACAGCGGTTCCAAAACTGTTGAATAGTACATAATGTTTGGAATCAACCAGAGAGGACAAACAGACTTCGTCAGAAAGCACTGATGGTGCGTTGTTCATTTAAATACTAGCTGAAGGTTAAGTTGTTCACTCCATTAGGTGTTTAATCTTTTTCCCCCTAAATTATTTGTCAATAAACAACTTGGGGCCTTTTTTCTGTGTCCTGTGTCAGAAACGGCGCGTAATGCAGCCGAAAAGTGTTAGGTGAACTCAATTAAATGGCCAGACGAGGAAGAGTAAAACAAAACTGTCTCTTTATTAAGAGAACTAACGTTGAACAAAAGAAAAACCATACAAGACACAGTGAAAACACAAAACTCACATGTCCTTAACAGTCTGAGATCAGAGCCAGCAAACAGAGGTGATCCAAAATACGTAGTCCAGAGGGAAGTCCGATATCATACACTGTCGCAGTCCGAGACAAGAGGGCAAAGCAGAAACGAATATACCAAGGTAACAGTCCCAGTCCGAGTCTCAGTCCGAGTCTCAGTCCGAGTCCCAGTCCGAGTCCCAGTCCGAGTCCCAGTCCGAGTCCGGAACACAAAATACCAAAACCGAAGAAAATGCTGGAAAGTCAGAGCTGGGGTCTAGAACAATCTGGCAGCGTCCTGGTGGGAGGACGCTGCCTAAATAGAGGTGCAAACAATAACGAAACAGGTGAAACCAATGTGAGTGATGAAGAACGTAAAAAGACAGAAACTAAGGTGAAACAAAAACAGGAAGTAACGTCAAAATAAAAGCCGGACAGGAAGCAGTGGAACCGAATCATGACAGTTGCAGGATATAAATGGATTTCCAACACAGAAAATGCCTTGCAGCTCTGCTACTGGATTTATTTGTGGACAAAAGGGGGGAAAAAAGCATCATGTTGGGTGTGCTTTCTGCATTCTAAAATGTTCCGATTTTTTTATCCTGCTGTGACGTTGCAATGCATAAGCAATTGTGGCGGCATCGCTTTTTATTGTGAGCACATGTATCATACATTATGAATATGAGCATGCAAAAGAGGCAATATATGAACGGCCCCTTAGAATATCGTGAACTTTTTTTTAAAATAATACTTTGGTTCACTGTCACCACTTTTACTGTGTTGTTTTCTGCCACAGCAGGCAGTTGTTTTCAGTGAAAAATCTAAAACCTAAAAAGTCACTGAACACTACTTTCTCAGCCCCAAACTGCAGACAGACACAATCAACTGCTGAACATAGTGGAGCTTTTACAACCTTAGCCAGACGTTTCCCTTAGGGGTTGGTTGAAAGCAAAAACTGAGCTAAAAAAGAGGGCGAACATTGGTCAGATGTTTTCATTGGTTTGGTCTCACCCCTCTCAAAAACAGCCATATTGAACAGAACAAACAAACAAAACTATTCCAAATGAATGCTAATGTTGCTCTGGGTCTCCTAAATCTGTAATATTTGGTTACTGTAGTTTAAAAGGTGACAAGTCAGTGTACACTTAATGGCTTTGTTATGTTGGACATCTTAATTAGCTTAGCAAATCTCTATATTAATTTAGACCTACTATTTCAGTCTTATGTTATTGTATCCATAAATTATTCTCTTTTTATGTGGTATCCCTAGCTTTGTTTGCCATTATATCAAGTCTCCTTTGCACGTCACTTGGCATTTCAACTGTTCTTCAAGGAATTGAGATGGAATTTCAGGTCAATGAGCCATAATGTTAACTAAATTGATATCTACAGTAAACTGGAAGTCTTTAAATACATTTAAGATATTTATTGTATATGTATATCTGATGTTCTAGTGGATTCTATATAATATAAAATAATTTTAACAACTCAATAAGGGGACAACCTTAAACAGATTAAGGCAAGTTTTGTCAACCTCTTGTCAACTGTGAATTTTAAAACTGCGACTGATGGCTAACCTTGTTTACATTTACAGGATCCTTGAACCCTTTACATTTGAGGATAAACTCAAGAAATGCAGTGACAACTGCAACACTTGGCAAGTATCATAGGCTTGCTGATTGCTCTCTGTTCTTACAAAATAAAGTGAGATTTTTCTTTAGAACAGCACTGCTGTTTTTGTGATGTGTCACACTGTGACTAAATGCTGTGTCTGCATCCAATCTCTGCTGCTTTCCTCTCAGCTTTGAGCTCCCAGCAGCAGGTGCCACACCTTATGATGGCTTCAAAGATGTCCTTCACCGTACATGCCCAGAATGACCAGTTAGTCACAGGGGACAGGCTCACATCCAGTTCCTCCTCCTACCAGGTGTGGTCCTTCCTGAAGCAGGCGGCACCTTTGGCAGAGTTGTGAGGTGCATGAGGATGGACAACATGAAGACAGTGGCCATCAAACTGGTAAGGAAGCAGGGCTCTTATGCTAAGAAAGCAAAAGAAGAAGTAAGAAAGAAAATGTGCTCATCGGAGTTTGAGTTGGACCATTTTTGTTATAGTGCTTTGTGCAGTGGTTCAATCAGTTAAGTACTGGCTTGACTAAATGAGTGTGTGTTTAGCTAATACAACCTGTTGGAATTGAAATGACCAGACTCAGACAAATGCAAATTGGCTCACTGGTACCAAGTTTTCACTGACAGAGATCGTATTTGTCTGGAGTTTGAGCACCTGGACAAAATTCTTTTTGATTTTATGAAGGAAAATTATTTCCAGCCTCTCCTTCTGAAGGAGATTATCCCTATTGTCCAATGGGTATTTCCTATAGCATTCCTTTCTGCATTAATAAATAGTTTGAAAATGGATACAGATGGAATATTGTTGACCTTATTATTAAATGTATGAATTTATTTATTTATTTATTTTTCAGTTCACCAATCCACTCAGTTACTTGAAGGCTGCTGGGATAATACATACAGACCTCAAGCTGGAAAATGTGGTCAGCCATCAGCAGGAGCAAAGTAATTGACTTCAGCCTGGCCTGTAACGTGTCAGCTGCCATGCCCGGCTCATATATATTCAGACCCGTCCATACAGGTGAATAGCTGGAGACTTGTGATTTTTAGCGTTGTATTAGTGGCTTGTCTCTTTGACGGGCTTTACTGCTGCAGAAGTAATAATAAATGCAAAGTAATCTGCAAAAAGCAGAGAAGTGATTCTGAGGCACTCAAACAGCAAAATAGTGGAAATAATTTTCACCACTGATGTGACCATGGTTCACTCTCTCAGGTCCCAGGGGTTATTGGGAGACATCCATGTCTGTGGGCTGCATGGCTGCGTTGATGTACCTTGGAACTCGACTCTACCCTGGCAGGCATGAATATGATATGGTGAGTACTTCTTGAATTTTACTATGTTTATACCTAATGATTTTTTTCTGGCTTTATTGCATTAATAATAATTCAATTTATAAATAATAGAAATGATGATTTTTTTTTTTTTTATTTCCTGAAAGTCCTCAACCTGGACTCTCAGTGTGACTTTAAGTTGTGTTGTATTTTCAGATGAGGTGCATAGTGGAGACTCAGGGTAAGTAAATGAACCATCTGCTCAATTTTCAAATCAAATCAAATCAAAATTTATTTATATAGCATTTTAAAAACATCTGCTTGACCAAAGTACTTTACAAGGAAAAGGTAAGAACTAAAGTAAATAAGATCAATATAGGAATATAAACACAAATTACACAGTCAATAGTTAAAAGAAGGAAACATTGGTGTGCTATCCTCGATACACGCCTACTTTCGTGACACTAGACAGCCAGCGAACAAATAAAAGGTTGAAGCTCCACACAAAGCTTGCTTTTCTTGTTTTATGGAGTTTATCCTTATATTATACTTGTAACTGTAAACAGATAAAATGGGAAAACAAATTAGCATATATGACGTTAAACATCAACCGAGCTGCATTAGCACACAGGCTAGACTTTGCAACTGATTTGATCTGCTTGTCAAATCTTTAGTTGTTGTCAAACATTACCCCTAGGTTTTTTATAGTCATCTTCAGATGACGAGCCAGGGGGCCTAAGTCATGGTTGAAAGCAGCAAATTTTGCCAGATCACCAAATAACACACACTCAGTTTTATCATCATTAAATTTCAGAAAGTTAAGCACCAGCCATACCTTCAAGTCTGTCAAATAATGGCTGTAGAGACATCCCTCCAGTTGCTTTTAATGGTAAATATATCTGGATGTCATTTGCATGTCATAATATTCATTTTCATTTTTATGCAGATGATGTCTAGATTTATATGCTGCTGATTCAATGTGACTCTTAACACCCTTACTCCCCTCCATAACTGTATTCACAATGTTAACGAATGGCTATCATAGAATTTCCTTTATTTAAATGACAGCAAGACTGAATATGTAGGGGACCTACTAAATCTGTTACGCAAAGACCTTTATTCTGAAAGGTTACACGATCATCACTTGGCTTTCTGGTGGTGCGGTGTGAGTGAACGGGCGCGCAGCGCGCTGGTGAAGAACGTGCTAAGTTCTATAACTTTTTGGCGGCTTTAACAAGTTATGGTCAGGCTGATAGCATGTAGTGGGGTTGCATGACGTTGCTTCTGAGCCTCAGTTGGTGTTAAGCTAAGCTACATTGTGAGAAGCTAGGCTATAAGTCTGCAATCGCTTATCGAGTTTTCGGAGTTAATACTCAGTGTCCTCCCGCGTTTTGTAACAAGATTATTGTTTTGCCAGTTCACACGAACTCTAAACCTGGTGTACGCCGAGATTTTTATGTCTTAGAGAAGGTTGGATGGTTCGTTGGGTGGGATAGTACATCGTTAGTGTCGCTACACGAATCACCGGGAGACAGGATTGTGGCCTCGTCGGATCAAGCTGTGCTCTTCAGGATCACGGGGGCAATCGTTGGGGATCATAAAGTGGAGCAACATAATCCTGCCTACCTAGACACTCTTCAGCGCTCCATCCATATCTAAGGCGTAGTGATGTACTCTGTTTCATTTCTTTACACCGGATGCTGGTAAGCAAGTGATCTTTTCTGTTCAACAAGTATGCAAACTGGACTGTACTAAAGCAACTCTTTTAAGTGGAACTGTGAATAGTACTGCCAAGTGATTCATGTTACAAGTTCTGGAGTATCATCGTATGTAATTGGATATCACTTTTCCGAATTGTTTTGGATTTCCTGGATTTTTGGAGTGGACTCCTGACATGTTGTGAACTTTGGACTGAACTGGTCATCTAAGTTTCTGGTGAGAGGACATTTTTGGTTTAAATGCTTAACCGAAGCAGACACTGGTTATCAATATTTTCTTTGTCTATTATTGGTAGTTTTAATGCCAATCTGAACTGAGTTTGAGGTTTGAAAATATTTTTTTTGTGTGTGTGAGAAACCAGACAGAAGGACTAAACGACTTGTTTTATTAATTGCTCTTATTTTCATACTCTTCAATGAATAAATTATCTTTGTTGTTAATCTGAACTTGTTTAAGGTATATTCCCATACTAAGGAGTGGGGGCGTCTCTCTTATCTTGTTGGTCTCAGGAAGGGTTGGTTCTGCATTTAGGAGGGGCTTTCACCTGCATGCACACATACACACTCCAGGGGCCATCGTGTATAAAGTAAATCCTGGAGCCCACCTCATCTTGACTATAGCTCGCCTTAGCAACATGATAAGTATAAACATATACAAACTGCTATACAGAGACCTAAAGCACTGGGTGGGGGGACCAAGATCCTGTTACTCACTCAGTCTTCCTTAGTTTAGGGTTCATTATTTCCCCCACAAGGCGGTGGCATATTCCCCTCCGCCACAAATACATTGTCTTCAGTCCTGACTCAGTTGCTCTTGTATCCAAATTAGGGGTTTCGGCTCCCTTAGTCACTGATACTGTTAGAAATCTTGGAGTGATATTTGATAGTAACCTTAATTTTGATAGGCAGGTCAGATCGATAGTCAAAACTAGATTTTTTCGCCTGAGGATGTTAACGAGGCCTTTCCTATCACATGCGAGTTAGAAAAAGTTATTCATACTTTTATCACCTCACGACTCGACTACTGCAATGCCCTTTATGTCGGAATTTCTCAATCTCTTCTTCGGAAGCTACAACTTGTGCAGAACGCTGTGGCTCGGCTCCTGTCGAATACCCCCAGATACACCCACATCACCTCTGTCCTTTCTTCGCTGCACTGGCTGCCAGTGAAATTCAGAATCGACTTTAACCTCTAGAGTCCTGAGCTTTGGAAACCCAAGCTGTGCGGTCCTCATATGAGGACGCAGGGACTCTAGAGGTTAAGGTGCTGTTATTTGTATTCAAGTCGATTAACGGCCTCGCCCCCTCATATGTGTCGGATCTCGTTTCTGTCTATGCCCTGCATAGAGCTCAACGCTCTTCAGAGCATCTCTCTGACTGTCCCGCAATCTTGATACAAAAAATGGGGCGATTGCTTTTTCTCTGTGTATGGCCCCAAGCTCTGTAACTCTACCACCAGAACTATGGTCCATAACTGAGCTGGCCTCATTCAAAGTAATTAAAAAAAAAATCATCTCTTTAGGCAGGCCTTCGGTACTTAACTCATTTCACGGAGATATTTTTAACTTGTTCTATGTTATTTATATTTCAATATGCAGTTTCCCTTCTGTTTTTAAAGTGTGTTTTAATTTATTTCAGGTTTTTTTTTTGCTTTTTTCTAGTGTTTGTAGCTTCTTTTCACTAGAGTACATACGTTTTGCTGTGAAGCACTTTGTGCCCCTTTCGAATTGTAAAGTGCTATATAAATAAAGTATTATTATTATTATTATTATTATCTAAGTAGGACACCACAGGAGAGGACAGTTGAAGAGGAGGAACAGTTACCAATATTAACAGAAAATCTTCTATTCGTGAGATGGTATCAAAGGCAGCAACAGCACTAGATCCCCACCATCCTTAGCCAACAAAATATCATTATTAATTTTAATAACGCTGATAAGTACCGTGTTTTGAGTTAAACCCAGACTGAAATTGCTCCTCATTGCCGTTTTCTGTCAGAAAAGACTGGGGTTGAATAAGAACAATCTTCTCTAAAAGGTACAACATAGAAGATAATTTAGACACTTGTCTAAAATTATAAAAGACTGAAGGATCTAGATTCAGTTTTTTAAGAAGTGGCTGGACAATTGCTTTTTTAAAAGCCTCTGGAACTGAGCCTGTACTTAAGCATAAGTTAATTAGAGCCAGAAAGCTAGGACCTAAAGACTCAAAAACATCCCTGAATAATCTTGTCGGCATGAAATGCAGAGACAGTGAGATGTTTTCATATGTAAAAACACTTCTGATAACACAGGCAAAGAAATGGTCTCAAATTGGTCAAAAGTAGCAGAAGGCAGGGGAAGGTCAGTTGGGTCAAAAGAAGATACTGGAGAATTGCCTAATGCTAGCAGTGTTGTTTGTAAAATAATGAGGAAAACTCTCATATTTCAACAGATGCCTCAGGATGAGAGGTACATGGGCTAATGACAGAATTGATTGTAGTGAACAAAAACTGAGGTTTTCCTGAAAAACTACAAATCCACCACCAGTCTATGGAAATTCAAGCTACCTACACCACTACTTTAATCTAACCTAATTTCACTAGCAGGGATCTGCCCTCCCTAAGTATGGATATGAGAAAGGTAAGAATCCAATGCTTGTGTATGTTACATCTTTGGAGCAAGCTTAGGAGGTCCTCACCACTCTCAAAAGCTGGCAGACCCCTAGCAGGATGCGGGGGGCACTGGACTATTGGATCAGGTGGTGGTGGTGGAGCCAATCCCAGCTGACACTGGACGAGAGGAAGGGTACACGCTGGACAGGTCGCCAGTCTATCACAGGGCTAACACTTAGAATACTTTTGTTTGGGAAACAGGTTTGGAAACTCAGATGTCCGAGTTTTCCACGTGTCCTTAAGCGTGCATTCGTGGATCGTGGACTTTTGAGAGTGCGGAAAAACACTCAAAAATCCGTGTGTGCGCGGAAGGTGATTCGTGTGTGTTAGACGATCCACGCATGCATAGGTAACAATGTGTACGTACTTTCTAAAGAACTGCACACAAAAAAATCGATTTTAAGCATTTGTAAAATGTGTTTTATGTGCAGTTTGTACAGCATGCATTTGTGAACAGCATGACACACACACACAAATGGCTTTATACGTGCAGATTGCGCAGCACGCATTTGTGATCCTCATGACACACACACACAAATCACTTGTTACAGACAAAACGTTAAACACGCATTTGTAACGTTTTTGATAGTATTTTATCTCCATATACATCCACCTCTAGCTCCGTTTACATACATTGTGTCACCATGCTAGTTCAAGAAATTTAGGGGTAGGGTGGGAGATGTGGGCAGTGCTGGATATCTAACCCTGTCTTCCTGCAGCTTGTAGCCAGAATCTTTTTAAACAGTTGAGCAGGAATCAAAAAAACCCTGAACCACTAACAAGGGCATCATCAGAGCAGGTACCTATTAGCTATTGTTAGCTCCCCAACAGGAACAGGCTGTAGAATCTATACACTGTCCGCTCCACTTCCACAAGCTGTCAGGTCTACTGAGCACCACCTGCCTCTCTTTCTCCTTTCTCTCCCTCTCCCCCTCTCTTTCTGGTTCTCTGTTGCAGGTCCTGGCTCCCGTGAGATGCACAACTGAGATACATCGTCTAATTATCTGCTCTCAGGGTGTAACACAGCTGAGGTGCATAACCAGAGGATCACCGTCCCTACTTAAAGCGCTGGCAGACGCTTCCTCGTTGCCAGATCATTGAGGATGAAGTGTACGTTTGATGCGGCCACACTTGATTCTGTTGATGCTAGGCTGTGTTCCAGCCCCGTGGCAACTCCTTGGACCTGTCTCGTGTCTGCAAAGGTTTTGCTACGTTCCCACTGCTTTCACCTACCTGCCAGCTGTGGAATGAGTAACCTTGATGCTTTTTAATCTGCCGGCCAGCTACAGCGCGAGAGCCCCAACGCTGTGTTTACCTGCTTGTCATCTATGGAGTGAGACTACCTGCTACGTTGAGCACTTACCTGAATGGCTGCTCTCCTGTCTACTCACCTGCCCGTCATGGTCCTCTGATCCTCCTGGTTCCTGCCGATCTCCTTTACAGCCACTACTCAGCCTCCACTGCTCAACCTGGTCAGGCAACATCAACCCCATTGACTTGGTTTTCCTCCACCTGCTTACACTCTGTAATAAAGACTCTTTTCTACTAGCACTATGTGTTTGCACTCTGAGTCCTATTTGTCTCTCTCTCTCACCTCCTGGTGAGAGACACCAACCATAAAACAAGCTAAGATCCCATACCCAGAGATATATCTTCAGCAAAACAAACAGCTCAGAATAGTATGCAGTCTCTTTTACATTTGTCCCTTTTGTCAGAATCTCTAGGTCCACTATGAGCAAACTACAGTCAGCTAACCATCCTGAATCAAAATAACTTCAAATATTGTATAACTGAGTTTCTTGCATACTCATGTGTAGTCTGGTTGTTTGGCAGACAAAGGAGAGGGACCTCTCAGATGGATGACGAAGGCAGTATTGCAAAGATGGAGTAATATAATCCAGTCAGCTGAAAGAGAATCAATATTACAGCAAAGTTTAGAAATGTATAAAATTAAAATAAACTTAATGCAAACACAAATTAACCAAAATCCTCTCACAATGGCATGCTGCGGGAGACTAGGCTTTGTAACACACCACACATGCTCAAGACAATACATTACACACTTGCACTGCAAATCCACAAAAGTTTTGGCGATTATGATGGCGTCTCTTGACCTTGATCACCCAACGTGATGTGGTGAAAGGGGGCTATAAAAGGCATAGTCTATTGTACTCCAGCTATTTGCCTTCTTAGGAACACGGGGGGGGGGGGGGGGGGGGGGCGGGGGCCCCGCGCA